GGCAGGAGAACACTCTCCCCTCTCCCTGGCAAGCATGGCCCCAGCCCTGTAGCGGCTTTCCATGGCCAGTGGGGGCAAGAGATTGCTCTCTCCTCTTCCTGGCAAGCACGGCCCCAGCCTCGTGGCGGTTTTTCCATGGCCAGCGGGGGCAGGAGAACGCTCTCTCCTCTCCCTGGCAAGCATGGCCCAGGCAAGCCTGGGGATGGGGCGGGGTGTTTGGAGTCAGCTCAGCAGCCTAGGCTGGCCCAGGTTGGGTGTCGACTCGACCAGGGCTTGCTTGTAGGCTCACTCACCCAGGGAGATCAGGGCCAAGGTTGAAAGCAGGCAGCAATGGCAGGTAAAGGCAGGTTAGCAATGGTGGATGAGATGAGGAAAACTGGGCGGGGTGGGGAGTGGGCAGGCAGGAAGGGGTGGGGCCAACTAGGGGCACGATTTACTGGTTCTCCAAACTGCTCAGACTCATAACATCCGGTTCTATAGAACTGGTCCGAACTGGTAGAAACCCACTCCTGGTTTATATCAATCTCAAATTTTAATACAGTTCTCTTCTTTTTGCTTTTACTAATTGCCTATGAAACACATACCATTAGGCAAGACTGAAACCCAAGAGAACTGACGAGTTCTCCATTACCTTGTTTTAGCTTTTCACCATCTTCCATGAGCAGCTGGCATTCTGTTTGCCTGGCACAATTTTACAAATCCAAGCAAGCTGTATACAATCTTCCCTGATCACTGGGTCTACTTTCTGGTTAATACAGCTATTCTTTCTGATGTTCAGATTTTTACTTAACTTTTTTATTTAGTGGGGCTTTTGCCCTGTCGTCAAATAGTTGTCTTCATTGGGCAATTGGAATTGTATCATTTAATATTTTGCTTTTGTTCCTTTAATATGTAGTATGCCTTAATATGCCTTAAAAACCAAAAATATTTGTTTTTTATGAACTTCTGCCCATATTTGTTTCTTCTGCCATGAAATCATTGCTTTTCTATATTTCTTTTTTTTCCAAGTTAGATGAATTTGACAGATTCTTATACAGGATTCAATAGCTGATTGATGAGCTTGTTGAGTATATAGTACTGTGTAAGGCATACAGAGTACATCTGAAAAATCTATTTTTTTCTTAGACAGCTGTAAGAATATTTCTCTCTCTACACCCAAGTGGGTAATTTTTTAAAAATCCTTGCTGCATATTGTTATGATATATACAGAATAACCCTTGAGTAACAAGGATATGCACATGGAAACATTTATGAGAGTAGTTATGAATAATTATTCAGCCACACACAGATATACAAAATTGAGTTAAAGTTTACTTTAAGAAATAGCACAGTCCAATAAACGGTCCAGGTCATATCCGTTTTAAAATCCAAAGAATATTCAATTACAAAGTCTTCTTACCGGTTGCCTTTGTCATTTACGGTAGACAAAAATATCAAAGTATAAGCACAGCTTAGATAGCAACAGAATGTCAGAGATACAGAATGTCAGAGAGAGCAAGCTATGATCTCTAGCTCCCTCTTATGGTAATTTGCAATATAATCAACCAATTGGAATATAGTATAAATCAATACAATGATTTTGTCTTAAAGCTACAAACATACATTGTTGGTTTATATATTTCCAACCCAACTAGAAATCTGGTGGACAGATTTCTAACACATACCAAGCTGCAATAGAAGATATTGCCAAAATACCTAACTGATGTTATTTGTATAACAAAATATCTGCTATCTCTAATTTATGGATTCATTTCAATTCCATTTCTAATGAGTCATAAGTGTTCAATAATAACACATAGTTGTCCACATTTCTTGTGTCACCTCTGCTACTTTCTTCACCTCTGGCTGCAATTCAGATAATTGTTCCTATTATTTTATATTAGTGTTGATCAAATTTTAATGTGGTGCATCCTAATTGTAATGTTAATGCTAACAGAAAAGAAAGCAGGGATGTGAGGGGGGTAGTATCAAAAGATATTAATATTTTTATCCATAAAAATGATTTTTTTTGTTTTAAATGTTTGGCCTTTCTCTGAGCAAAGTGAATCAAAACAACACTGAGAATCAAGGGAACATTCTAGTTTCAGGGGTGAATTTTGAATTTAGCTCTATAGATCATATACTAATGGTTCAGCAAATTACCGTATCAGACGTTGCTATTAACATTAGAAGAACACATTGTCTAACCTTCATGAATTTATGTGTGCATGACTCAGTGAAATGTGGTGCTATATTCAAAGCCCTATAGAGATGAAGTTTGGAAGAACCTTACATCAGCCTCCTGAAATATAGCAACACTATAGCTATCAGCCACAAAAAGATTGCCACCATCAGTATATAAAAAGGGAGCTTCACAAGGTGATCCAATTTCTTTAAAACCATTCTCAGGAAGAGAATGGTCTGAAATATGAATAAAGGTAGGTGTATGTTTTGCTAATGGCACTGCCCTTTTCTTCAAATGCTGAAAACCTTTAAAAGGGAATTAAAGATAGCAGCAAGCTAGCAGACTTGAAAATAAATTTGAAGAGCCCACAAGTCATGGTTCAACAATTACTCCCAAATTTTACCAATGAAAATTAAAAATCGTGAACTGGAGAGGGTCAACAGCCACAGTAATCTTGGTCAAAAGTTTACAATGGAGGCTAACATCAACATTATAAAACAGAAATTATGTACTGGACTAAACTTAGAGAACATCTAGATAATGTTATGCTATATACATTATGGAGGAAATTGTTTAATCACTGTGTACTACCTCTGCTGATGTATGGTTCCAAAAGCAATACAGAAGTTGAAAGCTACACACAAAAAAGTGGGGAACAGGAAATGTTCAGCCTAACTGACCCCTCCCCCCAAAAATAAATATGGATTGCTCAATACATGAACATGTTGCTAATGATTTGAGCTGATAGTGATGATGAATGTAATATTCTTTTTCAATACTTTGTCTTGCTGTTGGTAAACTTGGAACAAACCCATACAGCACTTTAAAGAAAATTTAAGAAATATTTCCAACTAATTTATTTTTGAAGAATCCTGGGATTTCCAAGAATTTAGTAAATATTTTCAGTTGGAAGATCAGGAACACCTGCAAATGTCTAGGGCCCTTCATTCAGTGAAACTCTTCTATTTTCCCAGTTTTGAGTGGAATTAACCCAGAAGAGGTGACAGAGAAACTCTAAACCATGCCATAAAGTTAATAATTTCTATTTTAATTTACCTGACAGTTCTCCTGACAGAAGGTACACAAGGTTGTATGGCTTTATAGAGCATGGATATTCCTCCCAGAATCTTATAGGATTGACTGATTAATCATTGGTTGATTAATATACTGTCCCATTTTTTCATAATTAAAAGCAATGCCAAAGTATATTAAACATGAATGGAGTAAACATAGTGGCAGAATTCACTTATCCAGTTTTTTTGTGAAATCTGCAATGCAGAACCAACATATTATTTAAAGTAAAGTCCCGAACAGAAGAAAGGTTAGATCTGTAAAACTGTACAGTCTCAAAGTGATATAGTCTCAGCTGATACTGCCAATGCTTGATTATTAGCTCGGAGAGTCCTGGTGACACTTTGGCAAAGATTGATACTAATTATTACTTTCTCCAAAACTGGAAAAGTGTCTAAATTGGGCTTATAGCCAAAGCTGGCCACTGAGATATGCAATGACAGATGTGTAGGGATTTCTTTGGGGCAAAGAACTGTAAAAACATATCTGAGTTCAAGATCATGACATTTGAAAACTTCTATCTTAAATATTTAACATCTCTCCCTCCCTCCCTTCCTCCTTTCCTCTCTCTCCCTCCCTCCCTCTCTCTCCCTCTCCCCACTCCCTCCTTCCCCCCCCTCTCTCTCTCTTTCTTTCTCTGCAAAATGTGAGTTTGTGTGTGTGAATGCACTTGTATGTGTACTATAAAAAGTTACTTTGAGGTCCATGATCTCTCATGGATAGGGTACTTAAGCAACCTTGTCTTCTCTGATTACATAAGCCCAGTAGATTTCCCCCAAATGAAAATGGCCCCCAAATTAAGTTTGCAATCTAACAATCCTATGGTGTCCTCAGTTTCCACAGACTATACTAACTAGTTGTAAAGAATGATCTTAAGTCTTCTGCTGCAATCCACTTCAAGAACTTTCCATTTATTCTTATTCTGTAACCTGTAATTTTGAATGAATATAATAGGACTTTTCCTATACCCCTCACCTGCTAAGTTTGCTTAGGCATTATTGCTAATGGATTTTTTTCCCTTTCTGCATCCATTCCAGTAAAGTAAATATTGAATTCATATTAAAGTAATTTTGAAATATTTGCAACAGTTTAGAAAAATATAATTATAGATTCAATTCCTCATTAATTCTGGATTTAGTAGATTGAGTTTTATCATAAAATGTTCAGTTGGATGATTTATGGATCATTCACTACTAGTTTAACTGACCTGGACAATGTGCTCCTAAATAATTGCAGCTGGTTCATTTATGGACTTATGTGGTACTACATATACTGAACATTTTCCTGAACCATAACTCAGTTTTGATGAATTCAGTGGGAACATTAATAGTCTTTAAAATAAAAATGTGAAATTAACATTAATGTACTTTTAAGATTACGATTGAAGATTCATAGTCAAAGAAATCATTATATTATTATTATGGGTGACATAGTAAAAGTCAAAGGAAAGTGAAGAGATGCATGGATTAGGCTGAAAGATGCAATGTGGAATCTATTTGCATTTATTACTATATGTCAAGATCCAGCCCTAGCAGATTCAAGAAAATGTAATTATAGCCAGTCAAGAACCAAAGGCAGAACATTTGACAGGGCCAATTGAAGGTACATTTTAAGAAATGTGATTTAGCATTAATGACATAAATGCAGAATTTACCAAAGGAGCTGAGAAATACTCCATATATAGGCTTTATAAAACATAGAGTATCTTTGGAGTTGA